AGTGAAGACTGCTTTGGGAACAGGACTAAAGGTCATTTGTGCTATATTCTGGCAAAGAACCTGTCTAATTTTCCCCATATTTTGCAGCTGTATGTGAGGGGAGGCTTAGCAATGAAACCCCAGTTAGTCCTTTGAAAGAAATTCCAAGGCAACTCTGCATCCAGGATGGGGGCTTCAGAATTGCTGTTTGATCTCAGCAAGATTTACAGTAAGACTCAGGAAGAAAAAAAATCAAATTGAGAAATTTGCTGTCTGACCAGCAAAGAAAAGCCTATAGAGTTGGGCTGCTGCTCATGGGGACATTCAAGAGGGTAGCATCATGAAAAATAATCCAAGCACTTTGTACCCGGGTAGTTAGAAAGATAACTTTAGGTGATATCATGAATCTGGAATACCCATCTGTTACGGGCTCAGAGGTGGGTAAATGTAAACCTTTCATTTGAGAAGAATATCCCCGGGTGTTCTGATCCCACAGCTAAGAAATTATTTCCTCCATATTTTTCTTGTTTAATCACACAATAACCGAGGAATCCACTGTAGTCATGATGCAAAGGGACCAGGGTGGCTACTGATCTTGCCATTAGCGGAACTTGATTTCATCCATGTGGTATTGTGTTTTGTTTTGTTTTGGTTTGGTTTGGTTTTTTGCTGCTGTTGTTGTTTGGTTGCTTGTTTTGTTTTGTTTTGTTTTGTTTCTGTGTGGAGTGCCAGGGTCCCATTGATATGTCAAAGAAAAATTTAGCTTATAGCACAGCTGAGGCTTTGTAAGCAGAATGTCCTGAAGCTGTGAAAGCAAAGTCAAAGCAACCCTGGTGACAGCAGGACAGCAGAGATGCCAGTGACATGGCACAGCTTCCAAAGGAAGCTGCAGATAGCAAAGCAAAGCCTGTTCACGAAGATAACCGTAAGGTCTGAATTCAATACAGCTGTGGGCGTGGCCTTCAGGGCTCATATCATAACATCATGTGCCTCAGATGGCAGACAGATAACTATAGCACTCAGTGCTTGTCCTGCAAGCTTTTGGTCTTCTTTACATGGATTCTCTCTCCCTGTTTTACAATTTTTTTCTCATTTAGCATAGGAGTGTTTGCCCATGCATACTTGAGTATTGGTTGTACGTAACTTGTTCTTCTTGGATCTCAAAGTTTCTATCTAAGATTTTGTCTTGAATCTCTGAAAATGCTTTGGAACTTTGACTTTTGCTCCATGATGGAACTGGTAAGAACAAACACTCATAAAAGCTGGACTAGTGTGTTCTGATGCCTTCTGCATCCGGAGATTGACATGAGCCTTTGAGGCCCAGGAAAGCGATTATAGTCCAGATGCTAAAAGTTCTACAAAAGCTCATTCATTGAGCACTTCATCCCTAAAAAGAAGGTAATCTGAAGTGGGCTTTTGGGGGATTAATGGACCACGAAATGATTCACCCAAGGCCTTGAATTCAGTTTCATGGGTTTGGGGAGGAGGTGCTGTATCATAAAAATAAGCTTTCTTTTTCTTCCCTGATGATGCTTCATCTATTGCCTTATTGTTCTGCCTTAACACCATGCCTCCCTCCCTAAGTGCCCATGAATGGCAACCTCAAAACCATGAGTCAAAACAAACCCTTTCCTTTTAGTTGATTGTCTCATGTATTTTTGTCAGAATGACTAAAACTGGCTAAGACATTCCTGATTCATTATTGCGACTCTCAGATAAAGAACACACACACACACGTATGTATGTATATATGTATGTACATATGTATTATACCAATATATTTATGATCAGAAGTATACCATTCTGTTCCCATACCTCAATGGTTGTGTCTATCTTACAATGCATTTATTTAATGCATTATTTAATGTATATAAATAGACTTCTCATATTATTATTTAAAGCTTATATATTTTAGTAGTTCACTGAAGATACAAAAAAGACATGAAACTTCAATCAAATGTCCATGTGAAGTATATCTCTGTACTTGCTGGTACAGAGTTCATGGTATTTTTTATTATCACCATTGCTATATCAGAAGCTAACTCTTGCAGCACAAACCCCAAATATAAATTAACCTTGAGAAAATTACTCCATTAGTGTAGCAGTATAGATTCTGAAGTAAAGGAAATTTAAAGAAAGACAAAAATAAACTCATGACAAAGAGGAGAGCTAGCAGAGGGCACAAAACATGTAGAAATAATCAATATGTGCTGAGAACACTGCATCCACCCGAAAGGGAAGTCTGGATAAGGCCAAGTTAGCCCACCCAAAATAGACATCCTCCTCTTCCCATTTCCCTTTTCACCACAAGCTCTCATGAGTGATGAGCAAACTGCATGCAAAATGGGAGATCAAAATACAAGGCTCTCTGTGTATGTATTTCTTACTTTTATATATTTGTGATTTTTATTCATGCAAATACATTTGGATAGTCACTTGATTGCTTTCTTATTAAATGAAGAGCTTGCAGTCAGGCATGGTGGCACATGCAAGCAATCCCATCACTTGGAAGGTCAAGAAGGCTACTGTAGGCGAAGTGTAATTCAGAACAACAGAGCAGGGTGCTGGCATTTGTTGTCGGTGTTTTAAGCACCCTCTCAAAAATATCTGCTTTCTGCAAAGGACACCTTATTATAACAATATTTCTAGAACCATACAATCGATTATATGTAAGATATTTAAAAATCTAATTATAGCTCAAATTTCCAGTCTTCTGGAGTTGGGAAGTTTGGAATCTAGCTTGGTTGCCAAGTATGCACAAAGCCCTGGATTTAATTCTCAGTGCCACAATGAAACCTGATGACAAACAAGACACCAAAAGAAAATCTTTGGGAGAAGTCACAGCTTAGGGTGTCTGTTTCTTCACCAATAAACCAGAGATGATTTAAACCGGACAACAACCAGGAAGGTTATGGTCATCATAGGGCCAAATATTCTTTCTGTGATGTCCTCGTAGAATGAACTTGTCTGTTTTCTGTGTGGTCCCTTGCTCTTTTCCCAAACACCAGCTATCTAAATTTTGTTTTGTTTTGTTTTGGTTTCTAGATAGGGTTTCTCTGGGTAGTCCCAGTTATCCTGGAACTCACTATGTAGACCAGCCTGGCCTTGAACTCAGAGATATGCTTGCCTCTGACTTTGCTAAGATTAAAAGCATATGCCACGCCCACCCTGCTGCTATCTGAAAATATTTGAAAGTCTTGATAAACAAGATAGATCACGTGCAGGCATACAGTCACATGTAGCTTAGTTATAGGGATTTGATTGGTGAAGTTTTATAACTGTAACTTGTTTATCTTCAACACAAAATGAACACATTACATTCTGGTCTTTAAGTTAGTTATAATTTTAAAAGTATCTGGCTCTCTTCCTTGTTAATTAATAAAAACTTGGAATTCTAGCAAACTCCCATTTAATTATATCTTTGAAAAGTTTCTTTGGTGCCCTTGGTAGCCTAAATGGTATTTGTTAAACAGTTATTGCTCCCCTGCCAGTTTCTGGGACTACAAAAGAGCAAAAGAACGCACTGTTAATTATGAACATATTTAAGCTTTTGAAAACAATTTAATTGACAATTAAAATGTACTAAAGCCTTGTTGTTCGTTATATATTTCTAAGAGAAAACTCGATACGCTGCCTGGAATCTGGGAATGGGAAGAGGAATCAGAAAAATAAGGTACAAAGAATTCCTGCCACCACCTCAGAAGAGGAGCAGTCGAGAACAAAACGATCCTCGGGACAAGATAATATCCAGCAGTCATTTCTGATATCAAGGTTAGAGAATGACATGTAAACCCACAGTAATCCTCAAACAGTTTGTCAATGTGAGACAAGCCAATCAAGTTCAAAGTCCAGAAATTGCAAAAGGAAGGGTAGCTGCAAGGGAGGGTGCAGGCTGGGGCACTCTTTTGTAAAAGGAAGGGCACCAAAGGGTTGACTTAGCTTTCCTAGCAATGTTTAGGACTGTGCTCATCCAATTCCTTTGACACTTAGCGTCACCCAGGTTCTTGCGTCAAGTCCTGTGGGGGACAATGATTCTCAAAACAAGGCAAAAAGGTGGGATCCTGTCCCACCTTTATACCCTCAACTAGACCCAGCCTGCGGGCTACTCTCTGAGCAGTGGGGGACTTACTAGAAACTTATGAGGCAGCGAGCAGCTTAGTGGAAAATCCTACTAGCCGGGGCACGTAGGAAAGGGAGAAGCCAGGAGGTATGGATTACTTACAGTTTGTCTCCGAGGCTGGCAGCACCAAGGCGAGACATGCCAGCAGCACCCCGGAGCGCGCGCTCAGGACCCTCATTGCTGAGCGGGCGGCCCGGGCTCACGGAAGGCACAGCGGGGACCGAGCCGGAGCTCGGCCAAGGGAAGCTGTGTGTCTGGGCTCAGCTCTACCAGCTCTGCTGTGGCCCAGCCCGAGCGCAGGCGGAGCAGCCCGGGGCGAAGGGGACCGCCCGCTCCCAGCCCCCAGCCCGGGAGGGGAAGCGGTGACTGGGACATTTCCTGGAAGCTTTGCGCTGCTGGGGGTGGGGGTGCGGGGTGAAGGGGGGTTGGGAGGGGGAGAGTGAGGTCGGAGGCCAAGGAAAGCTTATCAGAGGTCCTTTGTCACTGTCTCCAGTTCTGCATTTACTTCTTTTCTTTAGAAAGTGAAGTTTTCCAATGGTGAAGAAAAGACCCTCTCTCCTTCCCTAGCTCCCCCCTCTCCTTTTCCCTCTCCCTCTCCCTTTCCTTTTTCCACTCACTCTTTCCCTCCCCCTTTCTCTCTTTCCTCTTCTCTCCTTCTTTCCATGTCTGGAGACTGTGTCAGTCAGGAGGATGGCAGGATGTCAACCTGAACTCCTCCGAAGTCAATTTGGACTTTAGGAAGAAGACTGACCGGAACAGTAGTAAAGGGAAGAAAAGAAAATGGAATGTTTTGATCACCTATGGTGTAATTCCTCCAAACAGCTTTTTTTTTTTTTTTCGGTATTAATGTATTACCATCAGTTTTGGTCCTGCATATGCCTGTGAACCAGGCATTAGGTTGCTACTGGAAACTCAGAACTTGGGTTCGAAGCACAGTACTTGGTCTTACCACTGTTGCATAAAGTTAAGAGAAGATCCTGTCCTTTTGAGTCCTAGTCACATCATCTGTAATACAGAGATAAGAGGTTTCCATGGTGTCGAGCTGAGACTTTCAATAGATGCAATACGAAGCGATAAGAGCATGTCAGTAGTAGTTCTCAATGCATATATATTATTGTTCATTTTCTGCCCAAATGAATCATCAATTGTTTTTTTTCCTAGGCGTGTGAATGAAACTTACTAAGCAAAATCATATTTTAAAAATTATTTCCAGATCCTTTTTCTTTTTTTTTTTTCCTTTTTCTTTCTTTTGGGAACTCTTACACTATACCAATCTTTGTATGGCTGGTGTTGGTGAAAGAAACATTAGGACTGAGGACTAACAGGTGGTGATATGGAAATGTGTTTCCCCCTCCCTTTTCCTTAGAGAAAAAGTAACCAAGTAACCAGTAACCACAAGGTAAGCAACCCTTTTGCTTCTTCCTTCCTTCCAGTCCTAACATTACCATGGTACATTGTGCCATTGCAAGCCACAGGCTATGTTATAGAACGGCTCTAAAACTGTGAGCCAAAATATTCATTTTCTCCGTTACATTGATCCTCTGGTAGATTTTGTTGTTATTTTTATTTTTATCTTGTTTTGTTTTGTTTTCATTAGGACAGAAGCTGACGGACACAATTTCCTTTCCACATGAGGGAACTCACATTTTATTTGAGACAGTCACTAAAGAGCCTGCTACTTCTGCTGGAATTTGATTTGCTGTGGTTTAAAATGTCCCCTATGCCACCAGCAATTGTTGAAAACATCTGCAAACTTGGGTTGTGGCCATAGGTGAGCTTCATCACGTATAGCTTCAGGACTCTCAGTTCCACACCTCCTGCTCATTTCTGGGAAGGTGAAACCCAGTCCCCCAGACACCCAGTATCCCACATCTTTCTCTGGCTTCTGTCATGACTCCTTTGTCTTCGTAAGGTCCAGTGGAACTGCAGGCCAACACTGCCATGGCTGTGAAGATATTGGGACTCAGCTGTCCATATTTTCAAATAAAACTGTTTAACTGAAATATATGTCATATTATAATTTCTTCAGTTTACTAGAATAAGAATTATCTAGTATGTCTGTGACCCCCTTCCTTTAAAAGAAAACCTTTTTTCCTTTGTGAATCCTCGACTTCACCAGGTCTATGTGTTTACCATTTTATTCTCATCTCCAGGTGGTCCAAGAACAAATATAAATCTAATCTCTCATAATTGTTTGGGTTATATTAAAGGAAGCTTTAAGTATATTTAATATTTAGAATGTAAATGCACATAGGCCACGGTCTTCAATGAAAAACTCCATTTGAAAATCTCTTCATTATTGGAGGACAATTTTTTTGGGACATTGTCAACTTTGAGATTTCAGAATTTCCCTCAGAGGGAGAAGTTCATAAATAAAAAATCAGCAGCATTTCATAAAGTATTATTTCCAGTTTAAACAGAGAAAAAGAGAGAGGGGGGGACTGAGAAGGGAACATTAAATAAATAAAGGCATTTCAAGGATATGGAAAAATAGAAAAAAACACTTCATTTTCTTTGCCTGAAAGGGATGAACATTTTAGCTTCAGAACTGCATTGCCATATCAGTGCACATGAGGAACAACTGCCTCTTTGTTGTAATGTTAAACTTGAATACTATCTGAAATGCTGAATAAGAAAATTGAAGAATATATCTCTGGATAAAATATGTGGGTTTTAAACTTATAAGCTCCCTCTAGTTTTAATTCAATATTGATATCTGGTTTCAGCTCTAAGTATCAACACTTTGGCTAGTATTATACAGTTGAATATGATTTAGGTATGGTGTGGGAAGTACTTCTGTCTATGTGTTGCTTTTATTAGTTAACGAATAAAGAACTGCTTTGAGCCTATGACAGGAAAGAATAGAATTCAGTGGAGAAAGCTAGGCTGTCTTCTGGAAGAAAGAAGTCAGAGCGATACCATGTAGCCCCGCCAGAGACAGACACCGGACCTTTAACTGGTAAGCCACAATCTCGTGGCTAAACACAGATTAATAGAAATGGGTTAAATTACACAAGAGTTAGCCAATAAGAAGCTAGAGCTAATGGGCCAAGCAGTGATTTAATTAATACAGTTTCCGTATGGTTATTTTGTTTCTGGGCAGCCAGGAGCCAGAAGTGGCCTCCTTCAACATAGATATGCTTCCTTATATACAAACAAGACTTGTCCAAAGTTGAACTCCTTATATAACCCTGTTTCCATATTAAATTATACAGTTTCTATATTTCATATTATTTTACTAATAAAGCAACTAATATTTTCATTAATCATGCTTTCTATATACTGTTCTTTCTGAACAATAACATGTATCAGGGCAGAATGTTTTTGATGTTTGATTTACAGCTTTGTTTCCAGTGTCTGGAACACTGAGTAGTCCATAGATATTCAACTGAACAGTTTGAGCCTGGGGATTGATATATGGTGGTATGATGGGTGAACATGTGACTCTTTCTTTGTGATTGTAGTTTTGTTTGCTTACTTTTTAGCAGTACTAAACATTGAACTCTGACCCACACATACTAGGGAACTTCTTTACCACTAGGCTGTAGGGTCACCACCAGACATTTTTCCTTCCTTCTTTCCTTTTTTTTTTAATTGGTAGAATCTCACTATGCACTCCTGGATGACCTGGAATTCTCTATGTAGACTGAACTGACCTCAGATTCATAGAGATCTACTTGCCTCTGTTTCCTGGGTGCTAAGATTAAGGGAATGTAACACCACACCCAGTTTAAGGGTATTATTTAGAACGATAGCAGGAAGGACTGTTTTGCTCATTCATTGTGGTAAAAGAGCCACAAAAATGTGGTGATTTATTTCTTGGTCACGGGAAATTGAAATATGCATGCCTTTCCAGGCAGAGGCTCACCATATGTTGGCATGACATGCTAACATAGACTCTTAAAACTATTCACATAGAAAGGGGGAACAGGGATCATTGCCCTGGCTGTCAAGTACAGTCATTAAATATTGACATTCTCCTCACCATTCAACTGGGCACAAGAAGATACTTAGTGTGCTTGATTCTATAAGGTAAGAATAGCTTTCTTGTGTGCTTGTAAAGAGAAGGGAACAAGAAATGATTAGTATTTCCCCTGTCCATCAAACCACTTAAGGCAGTGAAAAACTTAGGGTCAAATTCCATAGATGATGACTGACTACTTCCTGGCAGTAGAAATTACTACCAGAATTTAGTTTTAAAACAGGTGGTACCAAATATGCTTCTCGAAACTCCAAAGACGCATGCACATAACAAGCTTCTTCAGGCACAGAAGGGATACTTACACATATTCTTTTTTTTTTTTAAAAGGAAAGCAGAAGATTAGGACAAGCTCCTAGAAAACATATGAAGACAAAGGAAGAATTACCAGGCAGAGAAGAGAAACAGGATAATATAAAACTGTGAAAGCTCAAGAGGAGACCAGAACGAGTTTTAGAAGTCTTAACTGTAGTAAGTGAGTTGAGAGATGCAAAAGAGCTGCTTCTTCCCCCACAGTGTCTGGATCTCTTCCTCAGCATGAGGGCTCTCCTATGGCCCCTTGTGAAGCCCAAGATTGTAAATAGAGGATCAAAAACAACATCCAGTACTATTCAGATGGATAGGTCAAAATTAAACTCAACCGTTGGGAACCCCGAAGTCTCCACACCAGGGTATGAAGAAGATTCAAGGGCCACATCAGTTATAGGAACAAGAAAAACTATAAGCATTTAGAGTCCAGCATCCTCTTGAACTTCCGGGTTGGTCAACAAGGTCAAGGAACAGGAAGTGCTGATGTGAAACAAATCTTACTGTGTTGAGATCTATCACAACATTTCTTTGAAGAGTTATAAAATTGTCATTGAAAGAACAGCACAGGTGAACTTTGTTAGAGTCATCAATCCCAAAGCCAGCCTTGGCAGAAAAAAAAAAGGCCCAGCTCATGTGCTTTATGTTTCATTCTGTTTAAATGAAACATCTAAGAGGGGAGGATGACAGAGGCAAGTGGGAGGGAGTAAGACAGAAGGGGATAGGTAGGGAAGAGAGAAGAATTTGGACGATATAATTTTGTTTAGCATGGTTTGACGTCATAGAATGATTGAAAGAATGAACTTCGACAACAGTGCTCTGTAAAGTTGTTGAACCACAAGTTACAGAGGGTGGATTGTGAAAATTAGTAAAAAACAAACAAATAAAAAAAACTTGTTAACCCCAGTGATTGTTAATGAAGACCCTTTCCTTATGCTTCCCTGAACTTCCACCCCACTCCATGGATATTCAGATAGGTAGCTATGGTGTAATACAAATGCTCGTGAGACACGTGACAGTAAGTCTAAAACCTGCTATTATCTATCAGAGGCTGCATTGAACTCTATCTCACCATCTCAGGAACCTTGTGAACTGGTGTGTTTTCAATCCCATCTTACAGAAGGTCTACAGAGGTTCAGAGTCGGCAAGCTCATGAATGAGAAAAGAACTGCTTAAAAAACCCAGTCTAACTTGGTTGTACACTGCCAGTTTCCCTTACACTGTGAATTCCCAGTGCTCTCTTCTATGATTTGAAATGTCTTTATTATCTATCTTTCATCTATCCTTTAGTCAGAAGTTGAATAAACATGGCTCTACATGTTATTGCTTGCTTTTCAAAAATGTATATTAATTTTTCCTCAATAAGTATTAGAAACACATACATTAAATACCTCTTTTTAAAAAAAGCATTGCAAAAGAGCCAGCACATTCACAATCTCAAAATTCAAATATCAAATGACCGTGATTCTAGATAGCTAAAAAGTTCCTCAAAAAAATACATTAAATTATTACCTCTCCTTATTTTTGAGTGGAAAGTGCACAACGTTTTCATTTAGTTCCTTCTATGTTTGCACATTCTACAACAAGGACATGTTGCTCTTGTAATTGCAACCCCTTCTTACAAGAAATATAATTATTGTTCACTTTTTTTTTACATAACAGCGATAAACATCAGATTAAAATAGCATTTCCATTTGAACTGTTGAAACAGCTCAGCAAACGAGTTTTCCCCGTGTGTCTTTAATTTATAATTGCCTCGGTGTATTGCTCCTGAATTCTTCAGCCTGAGTAGACCTGAGCCCCAGAGGATCACCATCCCCACTGCAGAACAAAACAGAACAAAACAAAACAAAAGCACGCAGACGAGCAGAGCTTTTTGGATCTCATTTGAGTTACTGGAGATGAAGGGGGATGCAAAAAGTTTGACAGGCAATGCATTTCCATTGGGTATATAGTCAGGACCTGGGTGAGATCTCTCCGGGAACCCTGGATTTATCTACGGACGCTCCGGTTGCCTAGTTACCAGATCCTGCTTCCGCGAGCTCCTCCTTATTCGTCTAGACCACGCCCACTTCCTCTTTCCGCCCTTTGACAGGGGGCGGGGAGCAAGGAAGTCTTCAGCCGCTCAGAAGCCCCGAACGGAGGTTGTCGGCCTCTGATTGGAGAAGCGCGGTGTGGGCGGTTCCGAAGGCGGGTCTTCCGAGATGCTGGAACGTCAGCACGTCGACGCGGGGGTTTTCTTTGGAGTCCCGCCACCGCCGCGCCGGTGCCGCTGAACCTGCCTTCAGGCTGTCCCGGGGCGGCGGGCCGACGTGGTTAGGGCCGAACTCTGGGATCGGTCCGGGTCACCGCCCTCCCGGTCTGTCCTCCCGGCCAATCTACCCTAGGGGAGCCTGGCGGCGTGGGGCCCCTGAGCCGGGCCGGGGAGCTCGGGGCCCTTTCCCGCCTGTGGCTCGGATGGGAGGTGGCGGGAGGAGAGACCTGGGATGTTCAGTCTGATGGCCAACTGCTGCGACTTGTTCAAGCGGTGGCGAGAGCCCGTCAGGTAGGCTGGGGCGCGGGCCCGCCGCCCAGAGGGATGGGGACGACCGCGCCCCTGGGCCGGGCCGGCGTCGCCTCTTCCCTAGGCGTGGGAGGAGTCGGCCCGGTCTAGGGGATGCTACCCTTCCGGATGGACCATTCCTGGACTGGTAGCCTAGACTGTAGCCCCTTGTCTGCTTGACAAAGTTTTGACCCATGGCGTAGACTTATATTTTAAACTGTTTCTTAGAAAGATGAGTGCATGAGCGTGTCTGTGGAAAGAGAAGGAAGAACTATCCATTGTGATTTTCTTGAAAACGTTTTGTAATGGGAAAGTTCTTAAAGAGAGGTTTGAACTACAGTTTTCCTAATAAACACATCCCTGTTGCCGCTCTTTCTGTCTCATCTCTCCTGTACGCATCTGAAAGCACAACCGCACACTATTTTGTTTGGCTATTTGGCTCTACTCCTTACTAATTATATGATTCAACCACATTTGGCCCATCTTCCTTATTTATTAAATGAGGATAAGATCTGTGCCTAAGAAGTGTTGGATCCAATTAGAGTGTGAGAAGAGTAGTGTTTTCTCAGCAGTAATTTAGCTGCTGTTTTCATGCACACTCTAGTATAACCTTCTAATTGAAAAGTCTCTTGCTTCATGATTCACTTTGCATAAGTACAAGTGTTACTCTTCCGTGCATGGTCCTTGGTTGTTCATTCAGTAAATACTGTCAAGAAAGTGACATGTACCCGGCACTGTGTGAGGGTGAAGTCAGTGAGGCTAATGCTTCTGAAACCTAGAAGCCCAGACTACACAGTGTGTTTTACATTGTAACTATTGGCTTTTCGTAGCTCTGCTTTGGAATTAGACCACAGGCAAAATTGAGCTAAGTGCTTTTTTTAAAAATCCAAAACTCCACAAATCTATATTTATTGTAAAGATGAGCATTCTATTAAAGTATGCACCTAAAAAGCAACACATCACAGTCACACATTTATAGGAAAACACATGTCTGTATATGGGAAAGAAATTTGCTTTAAACAGAACTTTTGGCATTCTTTCCCACTCGTTGACTTTGGGTTTGAATGTTTCAAGTGTAAGTGATAGGATCCCCTCTAAGAACCGAAGGTGTGTTTATAGGATAGGCTTCAATCTTACTCTGGTGGTTTTACAGCTTCTACTGAGACTTGAAAGTCAAAATATACGCCCATTCATACATGCCTCTGCTTTTAGAGAATGAACTTTTTAGGAGAGTATTAGAGCATGAATCAGAGCTTTGCTTTTATGACTTACACTAATCCATGAAAAATTGCTTTTTAATATACTTATGCTTCCTGTTTATTTTTTAAGTTTTAGATATGCTGCTTGATGTTGAGATTCTTTAATATTTTCTGAAAATATCTTTGCAAATGTAATGATTATTAATATTCAGAATATGCTCAGAGGTTCTGTTGGCTTTTCTAATAGACTCTACTCTTCACAAGGAAGTTTTTTTCATGAAACTCATTTGTTCATTTGTCTAATGGTAACCACAACCCATTGAGTGTATTAGATTTGTTTGCTATGTACCAGGCGAAAGGCTGAGACTCAGCATTAAGGCACCAGTCTGGCTTAGTAATGAGGGCCGGGAACCCAGCCAGTTTTTAAACCATACTTCATACAAGTCAGAACATGAACCTAGGATTTCAAGCCATGTAAATCAATCTCAAATTAACTATAGTGCTAGATGCACTGACAAGTGACTTGCCCCAATAGAAGCCATATAGTACATTTAATTTTTATTTTGAGATACAGTACAATGATGAAAACAAAAAAAAAAACAGTATAATAGTGTTAACTAAAATGTGAGCCTACTTGTAATAATTTTTAGTTTGGTGTGTGTGGGTAAGATCTAGTCTAGGAGCCCACATTTTATTTGCTCTGATTTTTCCACCTTTCTCAGTCCATAAGGGTTGCCATTTTTAAGGTCTCTTTGAATAGTACTGCTTAGGGACTCTAAGGTGGAAGCTGTGGCTGTTTGCAGAGAACTCAATTTGCTTCTTAATTCCTTGTAATTTGAGTGATGTAGTGCTTTTGGAGGAAGAATGCAGAGACAGTATATCGTTCATCACAGCCACGTACTCTACAGTACCCATTTCACAGTAATCATCAAGGGGTTTGTCGTGCTAGTGGGTTTTATTGCTGGAAAGGTTCATCTTGACCACATGGTTAACGCATTGTCTTCCAGGCTTCTCAGTTGGGTGCTTGACTTTAATAGATTGGAATGGGAATCCTAGAAGTCTTAGCGTTTTCTCCTGTCGAATTGTTGGCTATTTCTATCTCACAACACTCTAAGAGCGCAAGTATTAGAAGCATGGCTGTGAGGTTGCTTTTCTCATTCCTGCCGCCAAAATCTGACCAAAGCAAATCCTGACAAGAAGGATTTATCTGGGCCTCAGTTTTAAGAAAACGTTGTCCATTGCAGCGAGGTGGACAGTCAGAGTTGTGGGTGGGAACCTGCAGCCAGGACTTAGTAACAGGAGAATGCGTAGTTCAGCTGCTTTTCTCCTTTACCTTTTTATTTAGTCTGCATGGCTCCATTCATTTTCAGGATGGAGCTTCCCTCCTCTGTTAAATCCCGTCAGGGACACTCTCAGTGGTGTGTCTCCTAGGTGATTCCAAATCCAGTCCAGCTGACAATGAAGAATTGTCATCACAATGGCATCAACTTTCACTCAGCAAACTACCTCCCCCCAACCCTGATAGACATTGTGTAGGAATTTATCCTCCTCTGTCAACAGCCTTTGTTTATCAGGACCTAGCTTGACCTTTTCTTCTTATTTTCTTGAAAGAGAAATTTGTTTTTCCAAGATTAGTTCTTTGACCTGTGCTCTGTCTTCCATTTCCTTGATTTAGTTGTTGACATCCAGACAATTCTTAATTGCTTAGATCAGTATACTTTATATATACCTCACAGGGGGCTTGTGAGCTATAAGAATATATGAGAACCGAAGTCACTTTTCTCCTTAGTCTTCCGAGTTTCTCTTACATCCTTCTTAGAATGCGTTTTCAGGCTTTTCTTGCCTAACCAACCCAAACTCAGCCATCGGCTTCCCATAGATGCGCTAGCACATCACTGTAAGTGTAGTAACGTGAAACAATATGACGTTATTATCATTACATTCTGAGATCGGAAGTTAAAATAGTCTGCTGGTCTAGAAGCTCTAGGGGAAGAATCCACTCTCGTTTGCCCTTTCCAGCCTCTAGAGACCACCTGGGTTCCTTGGTTCATGGTGCTGTTCTTCCTCCTTCAAGGCTCGTAGCATAGCCAGTCACAACAGTATGC